ATAATAAAGGTGATTTCAAGACTTTAAGAGTCAAACACACATGATGAACTGTGCTTTCTAGGTTTTGACATTTTAAAACTTCTTTTGTTTCACTCTAAGATTACTTGCGATAATAACTGTTTGTAGGTATTTGACACCACTCCACCGTATCTGTAATTGGCATAGCATCCAGCAGACAGGCTCTGTACATCTTTACACTGCAACCTACCAAGTTAAGAAATGTATTGGTTCAATATAAAACAGCAGGCTGTTTTTAGACATAGTTACTAGTGCACAAGCTTTAATATGGCTTGGCTTCATCCTATAATGAGATCTTTTGGTTCCCTGCTCAACAGGCTTTTATTCCTCTGCAAAAGGCTATGAACTATGTCAAGTGGATCAGTTGCTTTTGTACACCCTCTTTCTTGGCTTTGGAACATAATTCCTTTGCTTCTACCCCTTTATGCATCAGACAGAACTTAAGAACCTTTTCAATTTTTCAAGCTAAACTTAGAATTTGTTTGAATTTGCTTTTCACCATTTTCTTAATAATTATATTCTCAACTAAACCTTACACAAAGACCTGCCTGGAAGTGAACATCTAATTGCAGAGCTATACTTTGTCTTTAGCACATATATCTACACCCCATGTTGGTAATGTGTCAAAGGATGGTTATCTACAATGATTCCTTCACAGTCGTCTCACAACTAAATTAATGATTCTCTTTCGGTGAGCATTAAATAGGATGTGGTGAGGGATTAAGGGTATAAATAATGGACAAAAAAATAAACAATGAAACTAGAACTACTAGCAATAGTTCAATCCAAAGGCAGGAAACTACTTATGTTGACAGCTGGCTGGTTAGGAACTATAGTTGTGGCCCTAGTGGAAAATGTCATGCTGTTGTCTCAGCTTGATAAAGAAGGGGGTGAAGCAGATTCTGCTTGCCTAGAGACCCTGCTTTCCAGGTGGAGCTTGGCCATGACGTTGTTTATAAACCTTTTCACTTCCAGATTGCCTATTGACTTCATTAAAATTTGATCATACATAACAATATTTTGAGTCGCAGCCCTTTAAAGGGAGCAATCACTGACCATTGGGAATTTTGCAGTGTAAAAAATACATAGTGGATGTAATCACCAATGATCGTTTTTGCAAGACTCACCCTCCACATTAGGGCTGCATCACAATGTTATTCCCTCTCCGCAACGTCTTCCATTTTTACCAAAACCTCTAGAAGTAATCTTAAATAGGTAAGTAAATACTAGTAGTCTCACTGTTGGAACAGTTTTCTCATGGGAGGTGCCAAACTTTTTCCCTGGGTTGACACTTCCTGAGGGCTATGTGACTTCCTTGAGCTTCCTAGTACCAATCCAAGTAAAAAGAAAATACTATATATTTATTGTTATAAGGAGCACATGGAGATAAAAGCTTGAAAGGACTCTTGCAATACCCGATCTTTGATTAAAAATATAAATAGTAAATATGGAATAAACTCTATTCAATATATTAACCATTGTTTAAAAGAAAAATGATATGCTCTCCTGCATTAGTGTAAAAGGAAGAGAAAAATGAGTATTATAGTATTTGATGAAATTTTATCTTGCCTGTCAGATTAGATGCAGCAATCCTACAGGCTTACAAATCACAAGTAATTGGAAGGGGCATAAAGGTCTTGAATAATTTGAAAAATAACCTTATTAATAAATAAACTTATTCATTAGGTAGCTGGGTAAATCTAAGCATTTAACTATAGTATTCAAGAAGGCAAGACACAGTCTCTGGGTTTGAGTCTTATCGATGTTAGGCAGTGATGTCTGACGTTTAAAACACAGAATCTAGGGCACTGATAGAGTTTGTATGGATAAGAATGGAAAGTTATTACATAAGGTTGCCTTGGTTACTCCTTGAACTGCTCAGATAAACTGACTATTGAAGTGCGGAAAATAGATACATTTAATACACTGTAAGAATACAAAAATAAAATTACTTTTCTAAATAAAAAGCCTTCTCCTAAATAAAGTCATACTATATTGTTTTAGTTAAATATTAAATGCAAGACATTTACAAAACTGGTGCCACTAAAATCCCTAGATGGAAATGCTTTTGATGATTTACTTTTGTGTGAAATTCATTAAATGTGATACCTAATTTCCTACATCTTTAAGTATTTTTATCTTGGTGTTCATTCTCAGCATATATAAAAAATTATCTTACTTTTATAAGCTGAAATATAATTCCAAAGTCAATAAATGAAATCCATTTACTAAAAAATGTATAAAATTTGTATTTTAAAATATTTTTAATTTTTAAAAGAACACTATTTTTTGAAGTCACATATCAACTATGATTTACACTATAAAGATCTGTATCTTTCATAGTTCATTTAGGGGCATGAGTCATGTGACTTACATAAACAGACTAGGAGATCTTCAGAAAAGGATGTAACAGGATGAAAAAAAACCCTCAGATTTTAAATTATGGTTGAATTCATTCAAATACAAATCAATATATCAATTAGATATGAAAGCATGCTAAAGCACAATAAAGATAAAGAATTACTTTTTTAATTTTAAAATAATATATTTAGGATAATACAAGTCCAGTTTAAAAATATTTAAGATTAAGTTTCCACATTTAAAAACAGACCAAATCTGCAACTGTAAATTACAGCACTTAGTCACAATTGCCATGTAATCCAACAAAACATTTTACATACAGAAATCCTAAAATATATTGAAACTATTTTCACATTTGCCTACTTTTGCATTTTCTTTTTGAAATTATACAAGATGCTTTATGGAATGACTGCCTGGAATAGACAATAGAGGAAAAATACTATGAATATAAATATGAAAATAAAATTCTGGTATCCATTAATGTTCTCTGTTATGGAGAAACATTATTTCAAATGTGCTAATATTTTCATCGCAAATAGTAGCAGGATATATTTAAATACTAGACAAACCACTTCATTGAAAAACTCTGCAGGATAAAAAGTCAAATATTCTAACAATTCCAGGTCATTAGGAGGCTTTATGTGCTCATAAACAGATGATACTCTTACATTCTAATATATAAGCATAAGTTAATTTGGGGTATATGTAAATATTCAGATTCTGATTATTGTGAAATAGTACAAAGATCTCCTTATATTCGATGTAACAAATGAAAGAAATTCTTTAGAGGAGAAAAAGGAAGACAGCTGTTTACTAGAATTCTATTTAAATCTAACAATTTAAAGGCTTTGTGTGTGTGTAAATAGCACTAAAAGAGAGATTCAAGAGTTTGCTAACTTTTTTTATTTCTTAAGCCCTTTAAGTAATGATATAACTAGAAACCTGGCTTCACTGCAAAGGAAAAACCATAGGTGATGTTCTCATGCTTCAGGTTAAAAATCTCTCTTAAAAGTCTAGATTTGCTAAAGGCCTTCCTAAAAGTATGCTTTTGTTGTTACTACCAATTTGATATTCAGCCAGAAAAATTGAAAATAATTATTAATCCCAAAGTATACTTTTAAAACTTCTACAAGAAATTATATTAAAGGAAACCAAACTATAATTTTGGAGAGATCAAACTGAGTAGGAGAGCAAATTGTATGAAAATTTACTCTCCCTTTCATCTGAGCCACACAGTCTCTATGTCTCAGTAACTACATAATTAGTCTTGTAATTGACTTATTTCCTTACACTTAAGGATCTTTATAACCTGCCGTATTAGTTTAATTTAACATAAAATTGCAATACTGAGATTTGGTCACACTAGTGGATGTCTAGATTCCCTCTGCATTGGAAGGAATGGTTTGCATTTAAGATTAACTGTATGTATAAAATATAACATTGGTTAACAAACAAACCAAAACAAACAAAAGATATCCCTCCCTCAAAAAAAAAAAAAGACATAAAGCTCTCAAAATAAAAGAAATCCTTTGAATAAATCAAAATCAGAACACTGGGATTTTAATATAAATGCAATTTTAATTTAAATGCAATTTGTCAAAAGTGTTCAATCTTCTTTATAAAAAATAGCTATTATTAATAAATAATAGCATTACTGTTTCATCAAAAATTATTATAGCATTTAAATTATAGGTAAGAAAATGCATATTTTTCATGAATTTAAATTTTATTGCTTTAAAAACCTGCATTTCTGCCACACACAAAAACAAAATATGCTGAAGACATTTTTCTTTTAACTGGTTAAAGGCACAGTCCAGGCTGTCCATCTAAAACTTTGTCCTAAATCTAAATAACTCATTCAAGCAGGAGATGGGTCGCTCTCCCTAAGAGGCCTCCTTAAATGCCACATCCTCCTTGAAATCTTTCTGAATATTCTGGTAGCTGCTTTCTGTGTATTCCTACAGCCTTTTGAGTTTACTTCTCTTGTAGTCTTCATTTCAGTGTGTCTTCTAGTATGGTTCATTCTTTACAGGTCTCTTTCCTCTGCTACACTGCATATTCCTGTGGACAGGAGAGAAATGATACCCGTCTCCACAATCTGGGCAAGAAAGTCTACACAGCAGGCACTCAAGATGGGTTGAGTAAGTGGAGAAGGTAAGGAAGGGAGTGTGGAGATCAACACTGGTGGCCCAACTATTGTGTGCGTTCTTTGCCCAAAGTGTACTTTAAAGCAAAGAATGCTTACTTTTAGCCATCAATAGATGCACACCCAAAAATAAACTGTCTGGTTTAAATAATATATTTGGAAATAATATATTTGGAGCAAGGGACTCCTAAGAATGGTTAGAAGAAACAGAAATATCAATAAAAAGGAGGAGACATTTAATATGAGGGGGGGTCCAAATGTCCCTAAGTTATTGTAACCTACTAAGAAGTTCAAAAAACTAAAAAAGTAGTTGAAATTTCACATATTAAACCATGTAGATTTGGTCAAAGAAAAAAGGCATTCGGAGATTATTTAAAATAACAAGTTAACAGTGCAAATACCGCATTGCTTTATGAGAATCTTACCATGTGCTTTTCTGCCCCCTCAAAAGAAAAAAATTTAAAACACTCTCCAGTTTTAACACAAACAAAAGATAAATACTTATGAAGGAAAACAGATTCCACAGCATTCCATACAGATTTCCAAACAGTCTGATGATTCACAACAGGCGTCCATGATGCCACAGTCCATGTCACAAGGGCAGTTACAGTCATCCCCCATTTCATCTCCACAGCAACAGCAGCAGGCTTCTGAGGTGCAGATGCCACACGATGCTTGTCCCAGGACAATATTGCAGAGGGTCAGGAATTCACAGAACAGGCACGCCAGGATACAGTGGACGCAACAGTCTTCATTTTCAGTTATGAGGAGGAGACCACGTAGTGAGAAAAAAGAAGGAACACAAAATACATGGCATCAATAGACTGAATAAGAATTGATCAAAATAATTAAATAAGCCACAATCCAAATGAAGCTGGAAGCTCAAAAAAGAGCTTAAGTTAAATTCTAGATGAGTAATCTTTACAACTATTTAGATACTGCCTTTGGAAAAGAAGCTGTAGTGTGTGCATGTGTGTTAGTTTATCATTCTCACACATTGTGCAGTGGCCCTTTGGTCCTAGGTACCCCTTGTCTATGCTCCTTATCCATCTTTCCTATGTCCCATTACTCTCAGTAACACTGGGCAAAAACAGTTCCACGATATTTATTAAAGTCCTTCAGAAATAGAACTTTCCTTCAATTGCTCTACCAACCTGCTCTAAAATTGGAAAGAAAAAAATTTAAACATGAAATATTTGGTGTATCATTGAATACTTAATTCAACAGTTAAACCAGAATCCATTGAACTGGGATCAATATATTTAACTTTCCAATACAATTGACTCAATTTCATGGTTTCAATTTTCTTTTTTTTTAATTTCACAGAATTCAAAGAAAAGAGTGAGATGCTCTGGTTGGGTCCATCCATTGGTTTTGGAATAGTTCTTTTGCCTATTTCTAAGAAAGGGATTTGTACCTTAACAAATGTGAATAATGGCACAGTAACATTGCTTTCCCACTTCCTTTGGTGGCAGAGGAAGATGTAGATGTGAAGTGACAGAATTCCTCTACTACAAATGCTTCAAACACCGAGTTCCTAGGGCAGTCTCACAACTCTACAGGACTATCCCTAACCATCCCATCATGAACTCCCCAACTCCTAGAAAATCCCCATTTCTCTGCAGTCTCTAACTTTGTAGAGAATTCTGAGGATGAAAGGAGGAAATGTAGAAATGCAAAGTCATGCTCTCTACATGCCAGATGGTGAAAAGAAGGGAGGTCAGAGAACTCAAAAGGGAAACTCCAGAGTTGCTTGTAGAATTAAAGGCTAACAGCACACACCAATATTTTCTTTCTTTTTTTCTTCTTAGTGCCAAACCCACTCTCAGATATGTTGGTTCATGCAGCAATGTGAAAAAAAAAAAATCATAGAGTTGTAAGAGTCTCCAAGTGTCTCCATCTTCCCCTAATGTTGGTTTTTACTAGTATCCAATCACTTCAGGAGAACCCTGAAATCACCTACATGAATCCAAGTCTATGACCTTACAAAGTTCTGGGTTTTTGGACAGTATACATGGTTTCTATCAATTGTCTTTCTAAACTTTAATCTCAGTAGTTTTTTATGTCTCTTCAGTTGAGCTTTTCCAGGATTATATTATCATCATGGTTTGTAAAATATTTGAAATGTTATAAAGGGCTAGCTTTATTATTATTAAGAAAATAGCATTTAACTGGCAGCAAGCCAGTTTTATTTGATGTACCTTCAAATGAATACCCATATTAACTAATTCCAACAATACTTCATTGAGACCTTAACTTTCTCTTCCATTGTGGAATGCTTAAATTTCAAGACTGAGTGAGGGAATTTACCAAAATTCACTTGATATTAAAGAACATTTAACCAAGTATTGTTGAAATCTAAGAATAGTTATTGAGCATGTAGTTTCTTTACATACTAGTCATAAAAGTTATCGGACATCATCCATATGTCATGGATCTCTCATTTTAAAGGGGAAAGAATGTTTGTCCCACCCAGCCTTAGACATAGAAGGTTACAATATCTGAAGCTTCCTTTGGTCCCTTCCTGAGTACATCTTCTTCTCCAGAGAGGTAATCACTGCCTTAAACATTGAGTGACTATTTCCTTTACTTTTCATTGTATTTTTTACAACAGTGTTTGTGTAAACATCCCTATACGATATATCAGAATGGAAGCCATACTGTATGCGTTCCTGTGAGTAGCATTCTTTGCTCAACATGATATGTTTTGAGATTTACACATGTTGATTCATGTAGCTGTCATTCACTCATCTTCCAGGTGCATAGTATTCCATTGAATTAATATGCCATAATTGATTTATCCATTCTACTATTTATGGATATTTTGGTGGTTACTAGTGTTTTTGCTGTTCTAGACATTGCCGTTTGATACAATTTTGGGCAAGTCCCCTAGAACACACATGCCAAATAACTAGCAGTAGGATTGTTGGGTCACAAGATTGGACATGTTTAATCTTATTGGGTAATACCAGATTTGTTCCCAAAGTGATTACATCAAAATTGACTTCTACCAACCAAGTATTAGAGTGCTCATTGCTCCACATTCTCACCAATCTGTGAAACTGATGGACTTTAAAATGTGCAAGTTGGTTGAGTGTGAAATGGCACTCATGGTGGTTTTATTTTGCATTTATTTCCTTGTTTACTAATTACTTTGGACATCTTTTCAAGTTCATGGTCCATTCATGTTTCCTTTTCTTTGAAATGGGTATTCAGTATTTTCATGTTTCTCCTTCATTTTTCTATTGAGTTGCCTCCTTTTTTTTATTGATTTGTAGACTTTTTCATATACTCAAGTTACCTTTTCCTTTGTCAAATATGATTGTTTTCTCTCAGTATGTGACTTTTCTTAGTTAAAATAAACTTTAAAAGGGGAGATGAGTTAACTTTTAGACCCTGAGAGTTTGAGGTGATGAAGGAAAATCCAAATCTTGTAGTTAGCTGGAGATATGAGATTACATGGTTAAGGAAGTTAAGAGGCAGATAAGCAAATCTGACGCACTAATCAGTGAAAAGAAGAAGAGGAGGCATTAACAAGATTTGGTAGCAGAATGAAATAAAAAGTTGTAATGTCTGATTCAAAACAAGGAAGTCTGGCCATGCCTATATACAGAAAGGAGGAAGAAACAAATAAGCAATGAGGAGGGAGAGACTGAATGTGATTGGTATGAAATCAACAGTCCTCAGGAGGAAGAGAGATGTGAGTGACATTCTCAACTAAACAACTCATTGTTGCTCATAGGATATATTCATTTGAGGATCAGTATCTCTTTTAGATCTTAGACTACAATGACAGATGTCATGCAGAAATTGAAAGTCCTAAGCCAAGAAATGAATCTCTCCTAACTCCCACTTTTAGCAAACCAGATGTACACATTAATTTAAGTCTGTTAAAATGTCATTTTATTTTTAGTGGACAAAAAATTTTTTTTAATAATTCTTAGCACTAAGTAGATCAAACACTCTTTTTCTAACCTATCTTTTTCGACCTAACCAGACCTCTACAACTAATAGGTATGAGTGGTTGCTTTACCAGAATGTGAAATCCTCATTAATGTGGGAACAGTATTTATTTGCTATTTTAAAAATGAAGAAGAGGGTTATCTCAGGAAATGAAATGTTTTCATCATTCTTCCATTTAAAAAAAAATAAAGAAATTTACTTTTTACTAAATTCTGTTTTAAGCTCTTTACAAATATTGATTCATTTAATACTAATAATAGTCTTAAGAAGCACTACTGGTATTACCCCTACTTTACCAATGCAGCGACTCACTTACAGAAAATTCAGGAAATTTTCCCAAGGTCATTGAGGTCGTAAGTAGTAGAGCCAGGATCAGAACCCAGACCACTCACCTCCCATGCTATGCTGCTGCTACATGAGTGGGTCTCTTCTAACACTTGCTTGATCTTTCTTGGAGGAAGATCAGTTAAAATCTCAAACTTTCTGCTGATTTGTTTTGTTCATTTGTTTCAGTATTAATTCATATTCCTTTTCTTTTCTAAAGATTATTCTGAATTTCAGTTTTAATGAAAGTTGGTAGTAAATGTTATCTTTCAACATGCAAGAGCAAAATCATGACTGAGTTGGTGAATTAATAAACTGCCAGTCACATTGCTAAAATAGACATAAGAGAGTAGGCAGCCTAGAAAGGGATGATGTCTCAATCAAAAGAAGCAAATCTGTAAATCTAAAACATAAAAATTATGGTCCACAGTTACGTGAACAAGAGCTATATAGATATGGTCCAGGAACTCTAGTGTTAAAACACAGGGTAGTGACAGAGACCTCAAAAGATTAAGCTCTTTATGTCAATTTTAAAACTTATAAAAAATAGAGATATCATCTGAAAACAGAGGTCCTATATTATTTACTAGAAAAGTACTGTGGGCTACTCTGAAAACCAAATCTATTAACAGGCACCTAAATGTGCCACGAACAAAAATGTGTTTTAAAGATTATAGAGATATTAAACAAGCTGTATCTACAGAAACACCCATCAGAAACACATTCATTTTCTGTACTTTATAAGTAGAGAAATATCTAGAAGTGACAAAAAATAAACCAAAAAAGCCAAGAAAAAGGACCTTTAAATTCTATCAAATCAATTAAATAATTTAATTCTTATTCCTTGCCAAAAAGGAAGGAATTTTTTTTAAGTCGTGTTCTATAAGTAGTTTGATTGTGACTAAGGTAATGAAAGGGTTAAAATAAACTAAGAAGAAATAGTTGTCATAGTTTCTACCCCCACAACTGCCAAGGGGAATCAAGAGTCAGCAAAGGCATGAAGATACTGGTTCTATTTGAAGCAAAGAAGATTATAAGAATTATCAAACTCAAGATGGTTTGAAAAGAGAAACGAACTTCAAAAAAGGTGGGTCCTCTGCATCCATGTGGTTTGCAGTCAGAAATATTTTTTCCCTGTTCTTGAGGTTTTCAATTTTTATGTTTTTATTTGGTTGGTTATTATTTGCAGTTTTTGCCAAAAGAGTTTAACCTTTGAGAAGCCAACTGGGTTCTGGGAAAGATGCCTGTCCAAAACTGGGCCAAGCAAGAATTGCACAATTCGGCGCACTTACAGGAGAACTCAGCACAACACTGACAACTACTGTAAATTTAGGAAATCGAAGGAACATACCAGCAGCCAAGTAGCTAAAAACAAAGCGTAAGAGGAAATCTTTAGCACAACATTTGATTTACAAGAGAAAACCCAACCAAACAACAACAAAAATCAAAAACTATTATGAAT